TTTATGGGGTCAGATGGATTGAAGGAACAAACTTGATATCTGTTGTTCAAGGAACTTGAGTAAATGCATATCTTGAACTTTTATAATGCAGGCCCTTGATTCGATATGTGATGAAGGACTACTGGCAGTTGCTGCAACTTGCAAGGAACTCCGTGAGCTCCGGATCTTCCCTTTCGATCCCCGGGAAGACAGTGAAGGTCCTGTCTCTGAAGTAGGCCTCCTAGCAATCTCTGAGGGTTGTAGGAACCTTGAATCTATTCTCTACTTTTGCCAGCGCATGACTAATGCGGCCGTGATAACCATGTCAGAGAACTGTCCTGAGCTTACTGTGTTTAGGCTCTGCATAATGGGTCGACATAGGCCGGACCATGTGACAGGAAAGCCTATGGACGAGGGATTTGGTGCCATTGTTAAAAACTGCAAGAAGCTAACTCGGCTTGCAGTGTCGGGGTTGCTTACAGATCAAGCGTTTAGGTACATGGGTGAGTATGGGAAATTGATCCGTACTCTGTCAGTAGCTTTTGCAGGAGACAGTGACATGGCTCTGAGACATGTCCTTGAAGGTTGCCCTAGACTGCAAAAACTGGAGATAAGGGACAGCCCATTTGGGGATGTTGCGTTACGCTCTGGTATGCATCGTTATTACAACATGAGGTTTGTTTGGATGTCGGCGTGTCGCTTGTCTAAGGGATGCTGCAGGGATATTGCACGTGCAATGCCGAATCTAGTTGTGGAAGTAATTGGGTCGGATGATGATGAGGATAATAGGGATTATGTTGAGACTCTATACATGTATCGGTCGCTTGATGGTCCAAGGAAGGATGCACCAAAGTTTGTCACAATTTTATAGGAAAGAGGAGCATGTTGGTGATGAATTTTAAGAAGGGGAATGAAATGGGTAGGTGTAGGAGGCAGGCTTGGATGATGATGGAGGCAAACTGTTGCATGACTGTTGATGATGGGGCGTTGATTGTTGTATCATTATTTCTTTTTTATTTTTGGTCCGTTTAAAAGTTCTTCTTGGTTGGTTAGGTGGAACAATGGATGTATGGTTTGGGAGGATGGGTGTTAGTTAGACAGCTGAGTTGGTTTCATGTTTCTTCTAATAATCTGCACTTTTGGCTCTCTTTGTCTTTTCCGTTTTCAATTAATTTGAGATATTATTTCATCTGAATCTGTTGATTCGATTCGGTTCAATTGGATTTTGGTTTTGGTTGGTTCGTTGATTTGTGGTGGAGGAGAGAGATGATGAGGGGAGCTTCTTATCCAAAGGAAGGCCTCTCCTTTTGCCTTTTTAAATGAGAAGCCATCTTTGTCCCCAAAAGACTAGAGTATTTCTACTGACAAGAGACCCCCATCATTTATTTCTTAAAAAGGTGACATAACCAAACTGAATAATGCAGAGGATGGTGACAAAACACATATATGATCATGATCATGATGGTGTTGGATTATAGAGTATTAGAGGATTGATGTTATCATCTTACCTACTCATTAAACCACATAACCCCAATGTTTTTTTTGTATTCCCATCCTTTACATCACTTTGGTTCCCCAATCCTACGGTCACCAT